ATCATTATGCAATTTTCCAATAAAATTCAATTTACACAGATTTTTTTCTTTCCCTTTTGCAAAAAATGATGGGTTATTTTCTCCATATTTAAGAAGGCTCAGGGCCTCGAAACCCCTACCTTTGAATAAAAAAACCTTAAAGGGCTATCCAATATATAAAGTTAATCTAGCATCTTCAATATCTCTTTAAGTTTGACAACCTTTAATATCTCTTTGCACAAGAATTGACAAAATTAATGCCAAATATGTTATGATGTCACAATCGTCAGATTTTTAAAACGTCATTGGTGGTATTTCTTACTCAAATTTAAAATTGTCTAACTTGAAGAGATTCCCTTGGCAACAAAACCACTGCTAATTTCACAGACAGTTAATTGATTCTTTTAGTATTTTGTATATGCTAATTATTCTATATTTTTTTTTACTTAAACTCATAAATTTTACAAAGCAGAAATTATGTTTACACAAAGTGTTAAGATTTTATATAACTTTCCTTTGAAGAAGATAAAAATTCACCATATATATTTTATGACCATAATACTGTCTAAACCAATCTTTTTCTCCAGGTTTTACTGGAAACTATTCTTGGAAAATTGTAAATTTGCTAGAGAACACGTGAAACGATGGAAAACAAGTTTTAGAAGTAATATTTCATGCAATTCTGTGACAAGTTTGGCTGACAGAGAAAACTGTTCATTTAAAATTGTCTGACTTTTTTATAGCTTCTTGCTGGGCTGGGATATAGTTTACTGGATTCTCTTGCATTTGGTCTGATTCAATCCAATCATTTTGTGGCAGCGTTATTCGCTTGATTTCCATTATATTACATATTTGTGTGTATATTTTAGGGGGAAAATTTGGTATGTTTAGATGAAGAAGCCTTATAAATACAGTCTTAAAAGTATTCAATGTAGGAAGAGTTAACTTTTAAATGTATCAGTAAAGATGGAAAGTGTGTATACACATGTACTGTAAAATCATTATTATTAGTGGGGCACGAATTTTCGTGGTTTTCGTGGGTAGGTCAATCCACAAATTTAAGATCCGACAAACTTTTATCCCAACAAATACTTCTTGCCCAGTCTCTGTTCTATATATTACAAACATGCGTCGGCTCTTTTCCGGCCGATATTTCATGAAATGGATGTAAATATAGACAGATAATCAGGTTAGTAACATATTAAATCCGTTTACAATATTTAAGAAACTTGAAAGAAAAATCGATTATAAATATGTCCTCAATTTACTGTCACAAATGTCGCATATACATACTTGATCGTTGTAGTTTACTAGGACTTGATTGTGTTAACAAGAATATTTGACATAATCGAGTAAATATGGTACCCAGGCAGTGCAATAATTAGCGCTAATCAAAATTGTCCGTTTGCTCTTATTTATTTAAAAAAAGTCTTTGACATTAATGTCGTAAGTACACAAAACTATAAAAAAAATACGATCGCTAAAACAGATTCATTGTACATAAATCTTTTGTCGTTTTTAAATGATCCAGTTTATATGAATTTTAATCTGTATTTGTGCGAATGCTATTCCGTAAACATCAAAGACGCCACCGCTTTTTACAAGATCCACATACTGTACCGAGATTAATGTATGTAAATTTACACAGTCGCTGTGACGTTGCGTGTAGTTACTGTCAAATATGTTAAGACCAATTCAGTGTGTAAACTTTTAAACTCGCTGGTTAAAACCTGTCAGGTGTCGTATAAATTATGCGATGTTTACATCGGCGAATAACATGGGCAGTGGAGGTGCATATCATGTCACATAAATGTGTTAATTGCAGTCAATTATCGGCAGTAACTGTGCTATATTAGAGTTATGCCCAGAGGCAAGGATTAAATTTATTGACAAGCGCTGTGTGACAAGTAAAGATATGTACATGTTGTAAGTAAAAATGTTCGGCGATTAAGTTTAAGATTACTTTGCATTAGGTTACTGAATTTTTTTTAACAAGAAAACGAAAATCCACGAATTTAAGAACCCACGAAAATGCCTTTTTTGATAAAACCACGAAATTTCAAGCCCACGAATATAAGTGAATTCGCAGTATATGATAGCACTATGATATATTAAAGGGGCTCAGCTGAGGATTTTTGGCATGACCGGACTGGAAATATTTTTTCCAAGATTTCTATACCATTGAAATGATGATCAAAAGTTACTGGTAAGGCCCATATCAATACTTTTGTGCAATATGTCAGATTATTCCTTCCAGAATGATGGTGCTTAATGTACAAAATAATCTAAAAATGAAAAGTTAAATGCTTTTTAATAGATTAATTCAGGCTACAAGAATCACAATGTATATTGATTTTTAAATCTAAGTCTAAGACTATTTCTTTATTATATATTTCATACTTTCTGTTTTATGCGCCTCAGTTAATAATATTATGTAATATTTCAAATTTTTGTGTTTTTAGGCTGTTGGACCTCAGTGGAGCCCCTTTAATAAAGACCGAGTTCAATACATCCTCTCCTCCTCTTCATCTTCATAAATGAAATTATAAGTGCAAAGAAATTGAAAGGCATTTCAATCTTCCTGATGTAACATCTGTATGCTACTTCAAAATCTTAAGTCGTAGTGATAGAAGAGAATTATTTTTTTTCGAACTTTCACATATCCGGCTTTTAATGTTCTCACCTGTTGAGAAAATTCAATAGAATTGAATCCTGTCAACTCACAATTTGCTAATTACTAATAATTTAGAAATGAAAATTTCAATACTCAGATGAAATTAATTTAATTTCCATAACCTTGGTTTATAATTAGAATAATGGGATGATGCAAGTCTAATGATATGATTTTATTATAGATCATAATAAATTATTAAGACTCAACATGAATTCATTAAAACAAATTATTTACATTGAATTAGTATTTAACAACCTTTTATAACAGCTTGTATTTGAGTTTTTTTCTGAAGACAGGAGTGATCACTTAGTATCAAGTACAAGCAGACATGGTTTAATGACATAACTTCAAACCACTTGTCCTCTACTGCTGTGGGTTCAAATCCTCACAGGGACATTTAATTCTTTCATGTGTGGAAGCTATCCAGCTAGATTATGGAACATCAGTGGTTCTACTTAAGCGCCTGTTTGTGGCTGAAATAAAGCACCTGAGGTCTTCCTTCACTAGTAAAGCAGGAAAGTTGCCATATGACCTAACTGTGTTATTGCGACGTAAAACCCAGCCAAAAAAACAAAAAATCTCCTGCACCATATTGATAACACTTCAGTTTGATTGTAAGTGATAGCAAGTTGTAATTCTGATTGTTTAAAACTTGAAGGTTTCTTGTCCTGCACCAAATTGAGAACACTTTCGATTCTTACTAATCTAATGTTCATGTGAGTTTTGAAACTTTCTTGTTGCTTGTAGTTCTGATTGTAGCTTCTCCATGTATGCTAAGTTCTAATTATTAAACGTTACAGCCTTTGTAAGAAAGGGATGCCATTTGGTACCCGATTTTATTTCCTCTCTGAATTGGATTATTATGTACAAAATTAGTTTTGCTTAAGTTTTTTGACCCCCTAAAAACTCAATCATTTTGATCTTATCACAAAATATAATAAAATTTTATGATATAGTGTTTTGGACGCTGGGAAATATAAAAGACCCCCAATTATGGTGCTCAGAGGTATTTATGAGTTATGATTGTTCTGTTGTATGGAGGAAAATAACCTATTTGCTGTCAAATATATATCTGGAATTGTCTGTTAATGATCAGGTCTTTATGCTGTAATAATATACTGTAAACTTACAAACTTTTAAAGTGGTGTTTATTTTCAACGATGACGAATGAAGAACTAGAATGATGTAACTATAAACAGTCTCTTTACAGTAAATACATTTTGTGTATAAAGGCGATGGGACATTTTAAGAATTAAGTTCTGCTCCAGATGTGAAGAAGATCCTTAGAATATGAAACAATCTGAAAAGGATTTTTGTATACACTACAATTATAACGATCTTTGATCATCATTATTTTAGATCATCAAAGCCATCTGATAGCCATTAACAATATAATCAATTCTATCAGGTTTTGCAGTCATACCAAGTGAACTGTCTCACCAGTATATTTAGAATTGCGTTAACAAAGAGTCAAAAATGATTAAATTAATGGCTTTTAAGAAATTTAACCCATAATATGCTGAATTTCTAAAATGGACTTGTCCAGCTTCCACTTTAATGGAACAGTTCATTATCAAATTTTGTGGATATCAAGATGAAATTTTGAAGTTAAAGTCTGCAGGCCAGCCAACAGTACGAAGAAGCTTTGTCATACTGCAGGAATTTGCAGGCTGGTCTCAGGCTCTAAACTGGTGGCAAAGGCTTATTACTTTCGTTTTCAGCAGGACAGTTTTAGAAATTTAGGACAGTTAAAAAAGTAACTGAATATTTTAACTCTTTATGAGGGATGACTTAGCCAATGCCACCTGATCAGATTTTATGTTATTGGGTTAGTCAATTTCAATACTTAATTTTGAAATAAAAGAATAATTTTAAATCGGAGGAGTTTCAATCTCAGCAAGTTAGCAAGGTTTAACAAGTTGTTCCAAGGTTGAATCACCTTGAGTTTGTTCATCTTTTTGAAAGTACAGATTTCTTTTTTTATGAACTTTGAATTAAAATTAATTTGCAGTTACTTTATGAGATATTATATTGGTGTTTGATATTTTGCTTGTGATATCCACCCTAAAAAAGCACATATCAAGTCATATATATTGAATTTTGAGTAAACAAAAAATCTAATGCCAAAATAAATTGTAATATATGGCATAAGTAGCACATAGAGAATAGTAATATATTATGTACAGTTACAGTTATGTCAGTAGAAATATGATAATTATCAAATTATGTAATAATGAATTACAACATGCTGAAATCAGTTCCACTACAGATAATTATGCTCGGAATGGTTTTGAACTAAATGTCAGAAGCAAGGTGGTATAAAGGTCGATCTTTTTTACGATTTCAGTTCAGAGGGTGCACCAACACAGAGAGTCCAAATGATCCGAAGGATACCAGCGCGATGCTCCGGGTGGGACGAGGCATGGTCCTGGATTTCAAGCAAAGATTGTAGAACTAAATACATGTAAGTAAACACTTCAGGGACTTTTCATTCATAACATTTCTATGGAATGTGAATTGCAGGCTTGTAAAGTTTTTGAAGGCAATATTTTCTTTGGTAAAAAGGACTTGGTGTACTCTGATGAAAAATATGGCTTAATGTATTCCAGCCAAATATTGCTTGTTTGAGTGGGGACAGTGTCACATGGTAACATTGTCTAAGAACATGAGCGCTGAAAAATCTTCGGAAAAAAAGGTGTACTTAAACTGGTTTTAATTTATTGAATGGAGTAGTCTTGTCTTCTTTTTTTTAAGACAAAAAATTGCAAAATTTGAAAGAAAGGAAAAAAAACTTTTGAGTGACTATTACTTTAAATACATTGAGGAATGTTGTTTAACATATTGTTACAACAACTTAAGAGAGACATTCAATATTGAATATTGACAAATATTTCCGAGAAGAATAAAAAAAAGCTCCAAAAAGTATTGTCCCTGTAAGAATCACATTAATCAACTCACAGAAAATAACAAAATCCTTATTACATTTCCCTATAGGTCTATCTGGTTGCATTTACTGTATAAAGTTTCCCATAATAGGAACAACCATGCCAAACAAATACAAAGCAGACTTTGTTTAAAGAGGTTTTTCGGAATTACATGTATTTTTCCCTGGGAGGCTATAAATATTTGTATTTGCTGATCCCAAAATAAAGCACCAATTACTGGCTAATCCAGAAGGCCGTAATTTCCATCAAATGGTCGTGTCAGTAATTATTAGGATAAGCTCTGACAATATTGATCTGTACTTGAATTTTTGGCTGCGTTCTATGAGTTCTATATAAATGGCGGCCTAGAGGCGTTCTTCATTGATAGGCGGCAAAGAGATCCCTGGTGACAAATTTCACCATTGATTTTTGGTAGGAGTATAGATTACATCCCAGTTCTCAACAAAGCATCCATTTTTTAAAAGGAAACATGTTCGGCTACTTTTGTTGTGGAAGCTGGAATAAAACATTATTCTCCGACAGTCATAAAGAAATCTGTTGCTCTCTTATAGTGAGCTAGTTTTTATGCCTTTCATATGCAGTGATAAATTGTCATAGCTAATTTTCTATACAAAATATATAATATATTGTTATCATTCAGTGTTTAAGTTGAACACATGCCTATGAAAAAAAGCAAACAAACATATAATATAACCTTAATTAAATGATCACCTTGCTTAAACAGCCAAATTTACTGTTTCTTTTGACTGGATGCTTAAGAAAGGTTGGTCTGTATTGTGTACCTAGGCTTTAAAAGCAAATGGGTTGAACCATCTTATGCATACTATCTTTATTAAGTCACTAAAATAACCAGAAATGTTTTATTATTGCACAAAATTTTATTGTTTCACAAAAAAGTACTCTTCTTCTCAACTCTGCTTTATTGAATGTGATACAGTAAGACCTGAAGATCAGCCTGAGGTTGATAAAGTCTTAATCTTGCAGGATTTGAACCTACTGAGGCAATGGGAAAGTGATCCTAAACCTGGGACCTTAACTTAAGACTAGTCAGTCTTTGCCCTACTTTTTTGTCAAACAAGAATAGCTAAATTTGTAAATTTCTGACAGGCTATTTTGCATGAACTGTCCTCAATAGCATTAAAATTATTTAAATGTTCATTGTAACATTGTGTCTTTTGGGATAAACTTAAACCGTCCAGAAATAGGTCAATGACTAAGTTAGCCAAAAGGTAACAAGACAAAAATTAAAGGTCTAAAAAAACCTACAGTCACTTTTTAAATATAATTTCGCTGCTTTTTAGCTTCTAATAATTTGTTGATTTTTTTCTTATTACTTTACATGTCTACATCTCGTATAATTAGTTTGGAAAAGTTGAAATTTTTATACATGTTTATCCTATAATTAATTATTCTAATAACATTCCAACAAAATTTACCCATCATGCTCACTGACTGCAAATGGCTTTTCCGCATCTTCGAACACTTAATAAAAAATTTTTTACACTACATTATATTTGTGAAGGATTGGAAATTACCATAGATTTTATAGCTTGCAATTATTTTCTGCAATATTTTAAAGTATTATTATGTTCAAAGTGCATAAGTTACTGCCTACAGTAATTCATAATTATGAAATAAACTCTAAAATCCTGAAATTTAATTTTAAAATGCTTGAATTTTTTTGTATTTTAAATCTCTTTTATGTAAAATACTGAATATTCAATTGTTTTGAGTTTTTGCTGATAAATTATACAGTGGATGTCAATATTGCAAAATTTATTATACAGAAGTTTTAAATTTTTTATCAACTCATTGTGCCTTAGACAAATAATTGTAGAACAAGCTTTCATGCAACTGACCATACAATGAGGGTTTATCGCAGAACTATTGTAAGTCTTTCTTTATTTCATATAAGTTACTGCAGTTTTGAGGTCAATCCTCAAATTATTATATATAAATGCTTAAGATAAATCAGATGTTTTTTTTTCCATTTTATCAGGCTCCAGTCTAAATCACTATGGATTAATGTGTTTATGCAAGTTTTTAAGGGCCTTAGATACTGTGTTCATCAGAGAGTTAAAATTGTTTCAATTATATTTAAGTATGAATGATGACATTTTCTCCTGGGATTTGTTTCCTTCAGAAAATAATCCAAACATCCTGATGTGTATTGTCTAAGGATTAGACTGCAATTTATAATTCCAATGCCACAGTAAAGGATAGGGGAAAAATGTGTAATGCAGAGGGATAACTTACTTGGTAGAGCCGACTGGATTTAAGGACCGGAGTTTCGAATCTTGGTCAGGCTGAAGAATAAGTTGAATAAGTATAGAACTTGATAAAAATTCCACACAGTGATAGAGACCAGTGATCAAGAGTCCATCACTTTGCCCTTCTTAATTTTTGAATTACCTCCCTTAGTCATGTTTTTAAATGTTTGATAATGCTTGTCCACAGTATAATTTCTGACACATTGAAACTTTACAGATATATAGAAAGACATGTTAAAGGAAGTGTTCAGTGGAAAAAAGGCATAACTCAACCTTAAACTGTGGTTATGATTAGGAAATAGATATATATCAGTTAATTGTTGGATAATGATACACAGTTCGAGTCCTTATGCCTAGGAATATAATAATGACAAAGCATTTGAACGATCAAAAAATTGCATTATTATACTGTAATGTAAGAAAAGTTAATATCTATTTCCATTCTAACATGATAACTAAAAAGAGAATTTATAAAAATATGTTGAACTCACTTGATCAAAATAGCATTGCTATTTTTCTTACTCTCACTCTAGACATTTGGCACCTAAAATATGGGGTGGTGACAGTTTACTTCTCTGAGTCAGTAAAATTGTTTTGGTACAAATTTTGGATTTTTAAAAAATTTTATGTAGGGAAGAAAATTTGTACTGTACTCTAAGGAAGAAAATGATAAGTCACTTTGTATATTACATATTCCAGGTTTGAGTCTCAGTGACATTGAACATTTGACAAAAAAATTCTCTTGTTGAGTTGTTTTATTACCTTGGTAGTTACATTGGTAAATGCTTCACACATTTGCCATTTTATTCATAGTTGTGTATGGCATTTCTCATTTGCATAGAAAAATTGTGAAAAGCTGTCATTGGATTTGTTAAGCAGTTGTCCTTTTTTTTTTCATAGTCAAATGTGCTCTGATCATTGTTAAATGTTAGTCACTTAGTCACTATATTATAGACTGCTGTTGCTATGCAAGGTGAATTTTTTTGATGAGGAGTATAATTTTGTATACTTGCAGACCTCTTTAGTACTGACATTTGCTCCATCCGGACTGGAAGAGTTTTTATTTCGTAGCCTGAAGTATCTAGTTAGTTGCTTTAATGTTGCCGCTAGAAGCATTGTGCATATTCCAAATACATCTAGCTGTCTCATTTTGTTATATTCACAACTCCCAGAGGGGGATTTTCCTTTCTTGATAAGAAACACAAATTTACCATTATGACAGAAGATCTTTATTCTGCCAAAGAGAACTGAGCGCGCAAATTGTGTAGAAAATTACTGTTTTCCATCACATTTCTCAAGAGATTTTTCTAAACGTTGGTTTGATACATAATTTTGGAAGACTGTTTGCCTGGTACAGGATGATATTGTTCTTGATAAATGAAAGTTCTACATTCTGCTCCCCTCTAGAGGCTGGTCTGCGGCTCCGTACTGATTATAGAGTTTTGAAACAGTGAAATCATTGAACAAGATTTTGATAAGCATGAACGTCCCGCGAGGACTGTATCATTAAACAACCAGAAACAGACAGCGTCCTTCTTAATTATGATAAACTTGGAAGAATGACAAATAGGGTTTTCACCAAATACGGAACATGATGTGGAATTGTTGATAATTGTTTTTCTACCGAATGCTTACGGGAATACTGAAATAAATAGTTTTCCTTTCGGCTTTTTTTTTTACTGCCGCCGTGGCGTTTTCCTGGGAAAATTTGTTTGGACTGGGAGAATGAGAATTAAGATATATTAGTCAGGGCTGCAGATAACATGCGTATTTGCGTTATTACCCAATTAAAATGTCTAAAAACCCAATAGAAATAATAACTAAGGGTAAGAAAAAGTAAATGAATTCTTATTTATACAAACTACATTTGAACTGGTGCGTAATGACGAAAATTATTACTTAACGCGTACATCAGGCAGATCATACTGTTTCAAACTGTTTTAACCTTTAATTTCTAAAGGCAACTTGGAAATCTCCTAGGCCAATAAACCATAAATCAAAGTAGTAAGTAGCTTTTTTATAACTGTACAAAACCTACAAATGTCTACAATGAAGGTCAAAAATTTTGGGTAAAATGCATGAACTTGTACTTTATAACCCAAATTAGTTAGAGGGGGTAGGGTAAAAAATACAGAAAGAACTCAAAGAAAATAGAAAAACCCAATAGATCACAAAATAAGGGGTAATTACCCAATATACACAAAATGTTATCTGTAGCCCTGATTAGTTATCCGTCCATCAATCACTTG